CATGGCTAGTCTAGCGGTCTCACGTGCGATTACGTAATTACCGATAATAAATTCTGGTTTGGCGCGAAAATAGACCATTCTTGCTCAGTTTTTCAGCGGAGCCGCGAAGAGGTGGACGGCCCACCCAGTCCCGCCCAAAAATCGCGTGAGTCGTATCTTGAACTCTTCCTAAGCCAAGCTGTCCCAGCTTGGCTTAGTCCGCTGATCAATCTTTTTTCCCATACCTTATTAGAACTGAGCATGAATATGAATGCATGTGAATAGAATACTATTCTAATTATTTCGCGTCAGAACCAAGGTTTATAAGTTTCTGTTCCCGTACGTACCATGCCTATTAAAGACGGTGTCAAAGTTTCAAAAGCAAATCCCAGTCTAAGCCCCGCTAATCGTCCCCGCACAATGATAATTGCGTCTAATACTGTCGAAAACCCCGCACTCCGTGACAAAAGTGACGGTCTAAAACCACTGAAATCTCCCGCTATTGCCCCGCATTTCCCGGGTATGGGGGAATGCGGGGCTTTCCACTGACTAGAACGCTAAGGGTGATTTTCACTAGCCATGAAGTCGCATTCGGAGTCGTAATCAGAGGCGTAGAACTTTACGATCTAGTGAAAATAGAGTTCTGATTCAGCTTACGACTCCGTCGCTTACGATCAAGTGAAAACTTGGTTGTAGAAGTCGAAAGCAGAGGCGGTAGAAGTAAACCAATCACAAGGCGTGGCAAGGTGAGTTACGCTTCTTCTTCACATCCGACAATCTGGTCATTAACGGAGTCAGTAGAAAATGAAAACCATCCAATTCTTCCGACTCCGATGTCGTCGCGTCACGACTATGCTTACGACTCCGATCTTTGATTTTCACTGACACTGTTATAAGCGCTCTTATAACTCTGCTTGGGACTCCTAGACCGACTCAGTCGCTCGTGAAAACCAGCCTTTAAGGGCCAAACTTCTTTTCAGGAACTCCCGAGAGTCTTACTTGACTTCCTGGCCTACTTGAGGCATCAAGCATAGTTATATTTTAAGACCATTCAACAGACATACTAGAGCATGACCCGTACAAGTAAATGTAAGAGTGGATGACGCAGGTTACCGTTTTACGGTCTTGCATTAGGGGTATAGAATGGTAAATTCGAGACTGCAAGACCCGGGTTTCAAAATTCGAGACTTCGAGACCTGTCACAAACGCTTCCGAGATTTCGACATCAGGCCAAAATTTTCCGAGACCTACGTTTTTTGAAGAAACGTTCTATACCCTTATCATCTAATACATGGACTCACTGTATGCTGGGCTGGTATAGGCTCTCTCGTCTCCCCAACCAGCTAAGGCATGTTTACTAATATATTGTGTTTCCTTAATCTAAGTACGTAATGTGATTCTATTGTTTCCGCAATGATCACGTACGAAGTACGGCTGGAAGTAGTTATGTACTTTGATTCGAACTAAGGCCAGTTTTCATAGCCACGTCCTCAAGCGAGCTGCACAAGTGTTGCATGCTGTCCACTCTCATTTTGGATCATATTATTTGGGTAAGTTCTCACACTTAACGCTAGAAGTTCCTTTTATTTAACCAACATTCATTTCTCTCAGGTTTGCATTATTTCCACATTTCTTAAAGCACCACAACAAGCACTCTGGGGGCCTATCACACCTCCAACCAAGGCCAACAGAGTTCGATTTTCAAATTTTCAGTTACACATGTGAAAAAACAGACAAATTTCTCTTTGTTACTGATGATGGTAGTGCTACATACTCTCGTAGTCAGCTTGGGTATTAGTAACATTAATTCAAGAGATTACAGTCACGGTTAATGTTCAGAGTTGAATCCTGAATTGTAACGGGGTTTAACATGTAACAGAAAAGAACTTATGAAGAAAAAACTAAACGTTTAAAAGTTTAACATGTACCTTGTAATACGTGATACCTTTAGTAAAGTAATATCTAGTAAATGAGGGATACTCTCAGGCCGAATGTCTCCCCAACCATCTACCAGCTAGGGCATGTTCACTAATATTCGCCTATTGAACTGGACCAAGGGCAAAAGAGTTCGATTTTGAAATTTGCAGTTACAGATGTTTAAAAACTGACAAATTTCTCTTTGTTCACTGATGCTGGTAGTACGACATACTCTCATAGTGAGCTTGGGTATTAATGGCATTAATTCAAGAGATTACAGTCACGGTTAATTTTGTTGAATCAAAATTGTAACGGGTTTAACATGTAGTTGTAATACGTGATACCTTAAGTAAAGTGACATCTAGTGAATGAGGGATACTCTCAGCCCGAATCTCAAATAACTCTGTTTTCAGTGTCAGTAAGAAAGTCAGCTTTTCGCCGACTCATTTTTGGGGGACTTGCGAGTCGGCTCCTACTCTAGGCAAGTCAAGAGAAATAAGAGTTCAGAGTCAATACCCAGAGGTGGAAGTGGCGATTATCTAAAAAAGACAGAATGGCGGATAGAACGCCCATTCCCCCTTCAATGGGGCCCATTTTTGGGGGAAGGGCACGGGTCATTTCAGGTGGTCTGGCAAACTGGTTTGGAAGTCGATTTGGAACGAACACAAAATTATTGCTTAGAGTCATTGGCCCTATGTGACGCCAAATGATTATCAAAATATAGTATTCGATGAGGCAGTTAGCCTGCGCGGAAGCTGAAGAAACAACTCCCTTCCATGGTCCGGACGGGAAAAGCTTCAACTTTTATTTGCGTGTGAAAAGTCTTTCCTTTTAATTACAAGAAAAGAATATGCTATTTGTAGATCGCCCGTCAAATTGAAACTTATTCGCTTGGGTAGTTAAAAGGGCTTTAAATGCGATATCCGACAGAATTGTGACAGAAAATTAATTTGCTTTGTGTGTTTTAAGAAACAGAAAATTACTGTTATATAACACAGGTTCGCACTTCTCCTGGAATTCCTGGACAACTCCTGGGTTTTTGAAATTTCTTACAAGGGAGGCCGAGTTTAACTCCTTTCCTTGTTTTCAATGTCCTTGAAACTTGAGACGATATAAATTGATAAAAATTGATAAATTGGGTAAAATCGGACAATAGCACACTACAGATAGAGAATAGTAGAATCGCAAAAACTGAAAGAACCGTAGAATTGTCTTTAACACAAGCTTTCTCAGTCGCAGAATATTAAAACTGGAGGAAATCTGTAGTGCCAAATTGAAGAATAGTACCTCTAAATCCGTTTATACTATTTTCTAGCCTACCTGAAGCATTGGCAACCAATGGTTGAAGCGCTTTTCTAGCGTCCAAGCATGACTGCGCGTAATATGAAAGATCTACGAACTTTGGTGAACCGGAAATAAATGTTCCGAAAACAATAGGTATTCTTTGCGATTGGTAAATTTTCCTCAAAATTCCAGCAAACAAACTTGCGACGTAAATACGCACATAGTCCATCAATTACAAGAAATTCTAATGACCGACCAATTATAATCAAGTAATTATGCCCTGTTTTGTTTTTTTTTGGACAAATTACGAAAAAAAATATCCCTTTTCGTTAGCCGATCGGAATTAAGAAATTATGGTTGTTACGTTGTAGTAAATGTAATAATTTTTATAAAGGAGAATATCAGTGCATTAAGAATACGAATTACAAATGTTCTATTAGAGATTCACAAATAGGTTCCCGAAATGCTCCGTTTGACTTTCGTTTACACTTAACAACTTTTCTAAATATGAGGATTATCATTTTATTCTATAACAATTGCCCGTTAAAATTACTTATTTATATGCTTCTCCTTGTCCTTGTCTCCCTCTTCCTCCTCATCATCATAATCATAATCATCAATATCAAGAACAAGACCATCTACTTTCACCGTTGTATTTATCGTGCTCACATTGGACAGTGCAGTACCTCCAGAATCACCAATTCTGCTCCCACTCAAATCCAAACTAGTTAAGGAGGATTTGACTGCAAGGGCCTGGGAAAGAGATGCAGCTCCAGAATCACCAATTCTGTTCCCACTCAAATCCAAATTAGTTAAGAAGGAGTTGACTGCAAGAGCCTGGGAAAGAAACGCAGCTCCAGAATCGCCAATACTGTTCCCACTCAAATCCAGATTAGTTAAGAAGGAGTTGATTGCAAGAGCCTTGGAAAGAGACGCCGCTCCAGAATCGCCAATATTGTTCTCACGCAAACCCAAATTAGTTAATGAGGACTTGACTGCAAGAAACTGGGAAAGAGACACAGCTCCAGAATCAACAATCTTGTTCCAATTCAAATCCAAATTTGTCAAGGATGAGTTGACTGCAAGAGCCTGGGAAAGAGACGCAGCTCCAGAATCACCAATACTGTTCCAACTCAAATCCAAATTAGTTAAAGAGGAGTTGACTGCAAGAGCTTGGGAAAGAAACGTAGCTCCAGAATCGCCAATTCTGCTCCCACGCAAATCCAAATTAGTTAAGGAGGAGGTGACTGCTAGAGCCTGGGAAAGAGTCGCAACTCCAGAATCGCCAATAGTGTTCCAACTCAAATCCAAATTACTTAAGGAGGAGTTGACCCCAAGAGCCTGGGAAAGAAACGCAGCTCCAGAATCGCCAATCCTGCTCCCACGCAAATCCAAATTAGTTAAGGAGGAGTTGACTGCAAGAGCCTGGGAAAGAGACGCAGCTCCAGAATCACCAATACTGTTCCAACTCAAATCCAAATTGGTTAAGGAGGAGTTGACTGCAAGAGCCTGGGAAAGAGACGCAGCTCCAGAATGACTAATACTGTTCCGACGCAAATCCAAATTAGTTAGAGAGGAGTTGACTGAAAGGGCCTGAGAAAGAGACGCAGCTCCAGAACCGCCAATACTGTTCCCACGCAAATTCAAATTAGTTAAGGAGGAGTTGACTGCAAGAGCCTGAGCCAGAGACGCAGCTCCAGAATTGCCAAAACGGTTCTCACTCAAATCCAATTTAGTTAAGGAGGAGTTGACTGTAAGAGCCTGAGCAAGAGACCCAGCTCCAGAATTGCCAAAACGGTTCTCACTCAAATCCAGTTTAGTTAAGGAATACTCAAATCCAAATTAGTTAAGGAGGAGTTGACTGCAAGAGCCTGGGAAAGAGACGCAGCTCCAGAAGAACCAATTCTGTTCCCACGCAAATCCAAATAAGTTAAGGAGGAGTTTACTGCAAGGGCCTTCGAAAGAAAAACAATAGCATCTTCCTCTATTTCTGACTTCAAATTCAAATAAGGAATGTGAAGGTGCTCTCCTAAGGTGTAAACTAAACTTTCGTACTCTGATAAACAACCTAATGAAAATACAAGACGCTTTGAAACGCCTTTCGCAGACTGAAGACTTCTGATATTTCTAGCCATATATGTTACGAGAGACTCTGCGGTTTTCTCACTTGTTGAAACTAAAATTCCGATCGTAAATAAAAAGACTTGATATAGTTCGTTCTTGTATCTTTGGTCAGTCACCACTGATTTGCACTCAATTTCTCCTTCAATGAGTTTGTAAGCAAGATAGAAACCAGCAAAGAACTCTTGAAAGCTCTTATGAAGAAATGCATAACGTACAACAACTTTCCTCTTACTACCACCAGCCTGAAGTGAAAGGAATCCGAACTTGGATAAGACAATGAAGCCACCGTCAGATTTATGTTCTTCAAAATACAACTCTCCTTTTAGAAGAGATTCTAATGCCATTCTTCCAAGATCTATTAATTCTTTTTTGTAAACGGTCATCAGGTCTTCATTCTTGCTCGCTAAACCTTGCTTTTGTTCATATCTTCTTAAAACACAAAGAACAATCTCTGTGTACAATTCAGTTTTGCTCGTTGGAAACACGCCCTCAAAATCCTCACAAACAACACACAGTAAGGCAGTGTTTAAGGGACTTTTTGTCAATTCACTCAGGTCTCTATCCTGTTGCGACTCAAATCGAAAGGGCACATGCCATATGCTCTTTAGAAGTTTCCAGGCTAAGTGCTCTTTGTTGATGTTTTTAAAGTATTTAAGAATAAAGCTTTCTGCATCTTTCTTGGTAAATCCTTCAATTTCCCACAGAGTGTCACAGTACCTCCTTACTTTACTTCCAGCCTCATGACGAGATGTCACAACAATGTAGCAACCTGAAAGTTCTTTACCTTGAACAAGGTTGGAGAGTACTTTGAGGTTACTTGCATCCACTTCATCCAATCCATCGAGAACTAAAAGAACTTTTGACTGATTTTCGCGAATGAATTTAAAGAAACATTCCTTAGCTTGATCTTCCATTTCCTCGGGTAAAATTTGGTCATCAATAGCCTCCCAGATGCTGGTTTGAAATTCGTTACATTTGAGAAGCAGTAGCACTTCAATATCTGGAAAAGACGGGTCCCATTCGTCGTGCTTAGTTGCCCAATCATACGCCAGCTTTTGACAGTATGTGGTTTTTCCCATGCCAGGATCTCCCTCGATCAAGACTGTTCGGGGGCTTTGACATTCTGCGTGCGCCTTAAAGATAGCAGTCATATTGGTTATCTCGTCAGTAAGTACTCCTCGGGACTTTTCTTTACCAACGATTTTAAGTCTAGTAAACATATCGTTCAAATGAAAGCTGAAATCTTCACACCAAGGTACAGGCAGAAAGCGTTGTTCACGTGTTCTATACAGTTGACGGATCTTCTCTAAAATGTCGCTTGGGTATGACAAATCTGAAAGATGAAGATGAAGCTTGACATGAGAACAAGTATTTGACTTGTTACACAGTAGGCTTGCTTATTACGGTGGGCAATAAGGGAAGTACTTTATGATTCTGTTTTGAATCCAACTGAAAAAATATGAAAATATCGTTGCAGCACTAAAGTTAGTGGGATGTGGACCCAGTATTACCCCATGATCAGTTACCAGTATACCGTAAAATTCCGAAAATAAGCCCCGGGGCTTATATTTTTCAAAGGCCCTTTTTGAGGGGCTTATTTTTGGAGGGGCTTATATTCGGAGGGGCTTATCTACGGAGGGAAATTTGCCAAATCGATTGGGCTAGCCTTATAGGTGGAAGTAAATTTACCGTTTTGGCCTTGCTTTACTTTGTATTTGAGGGCAATTTTCCAAGTACAAGCCCCCGGCGGGCTTATATTTGGAGGGGCGATTTAACGGAGGGTTTTTTGCGTTACCGGATTGGGGGGCTTATATTTGGAGGGGCTTATTTTCGGAATTTTACGGTATCTTAAACAGCTTACAATAATTCGAATGTTATTGTTCAAGTCAAAAAGCCTGGTAACTACATGTATTCAGTGGTGTGGAGATGATACTATGACCTATTTCATGCTTCCATGCAACAAGGAAAAGCTGAACACAGGGTATCAAAGGCTTCATCTTTAAGCCTTACATTTAACTCACATTAATCAATAATTACTGTGGGCGACAAGAGGAGCCCATAATAGGCCATTTGCACTGAGAGGTCATGTGACATCATTTTTATGAAAATGAAAGTTATATGATTTTGCCTTCGAAAAACGATTAGTGCGTCATATCTTAAACAAAATAATAGTGATTTGGTTTTTCAAACCCGCACCATTTTCTTAAAATGAGTAAGTTCGTAACTGGTCACGTGAACAAAATGTGATTTTTAAAATTATGAATTGCCTATTTCTGAACTCAAATTTTGCACTTAGACTTCAAGGAAAATGTTGAAAGATAATGTGGTAACGTTTACAGCGCATCTGAGCGTAACTATCAAACGTTTAACAAGATATAAGCAAAAAGTAGTTTTGGCCGCCATGTTGGAGGGCAAGAGTATGCCCTTCAACATGGCGGCCAATACAAATCATACTACTTTGTTGAAAAATCAAAGTACCATAAAATATTTCCCTTAAATGCGTTACCTTTCAAATTTCGGGGGTAAGATACTTTTTATGTGCTCTGTCAATTTTTGGCATAAGCAAGATTCCAACTCATTGTTTAAAGGCGGCATTGGTCACGTGACCTCTTTGTGCAAGTGGCCTATTCTGATCTACAGCTTGAAATTACGTATGCATGGAACTTATGTAACCATGTAGCTTCGAACAGCTACGTTTGGACCTCCACTAAAAAATTATGAAAGGAACACACAGAACTGGCAAATATCCGATCACATGTTTTGACTACCTAGCTATCACGTGAAACTTCCGTAAAGCACAGAATTGAAGAAAGAATTAGAGCGTGGTAACTTTGAATCACTGTCGCCCACACTCACTGGTTAGAGTGAAACCTGTATTAAGCAGACACCCTCTATAAAGCGGACAGTAGCCGAAGTCCCCAAATTTATTTCCCTTATTTACTTTACATAAAACCTTTATTAAGCGGACACCTCTATTAAGCGGACGCGGACACCTAAAAAGTGCCTGAAATGGTCATTTCTATTGTTGACCACTTGTATTAAACGGACACTTGTAATTAAATTCCACCACCCAACATATCATGCCAGACGCCAGAAATGTGAAAGATTGCCACCCACAAATTTTTCGATTTTACATTAAAAAATGCGACTTGACGAACTTATTTGATTAGTTTCACTGCACATTATTGTTTTCTATTTCATTTTGTTTCTATAGAGCTTGTTTCACTCATCTGATTTCTTCAAATTTGAGTTATAATATATGTTTTTGGTACTATGATCAATTGGTCCACTTTAATAAAGAAATTAATGCAAGCGTATATCGTCATAGTCTCTGGGAATATTCTAAACGTTTCTACTGTTCATTTGATTGGCATTTGACACCTCATATGACATTATCTATCGAAACCTGTATCAGGCGGACACCCTGTATTAAGCAGACACTACAGCATTCCCTGAGGGTGTCCGCTTAATACAGGTTTCACTGTATTACTAGATAACTGTATACCTAAAAGAATGCTTACTAACAAGATTTCTGTTTATTTTTAGGAATCAAGACTGCTGAGCAAGTGCAGCCAAGATGCTCTGAATCTTTGATACACCCAATTCAATTGAGGTTGCTTTGACAATATTGGTCATTAGCGATTGGGCATTGGGCATTTGGGCATACAGAAGAATTCAATGATTTGCTTGAGTGACCAACAAACAATACCTTTCCAGTGCCCAATTACCATATTATGCCCAAAGCAACCTTTATTGAGTCAGTTATATAACAGCAAGATCAATGCACACATATATAATACTAAAGCTAACCTGACTCATTAAATTCACTTTCGAGTTCACTCAGCTTGTCTTTGATATTGTCCTCCACTTTCTTCCACTGCTTTAGAAGTTCCCTGAAATGTTCTTCCTCCAGAGGGTCCATTTCCTGATCCCTTATTTCGTCAATGGCATCTCCATAATGGGCTCCTCCCAATCTCAACAAAGTGTCACGAATCTGCTGCCAGTAGTTACTTAACACAGCATCATTGATAAAGCCGTCTCCAGCATGTTTAGACACAGCATTCAGGAAACACCTAACACGGACAATGTCAGACTCACGACTGGTGTCTGCTGTGAGAGGAGGTGTGTCCCAGCCAGTGGGTGGAGGACTCAGATTACAGATTGTTCTTAAGAGCACTATCAAGAGGGAGATATCAAAGCTTGCAGATGTCACTTCAGAGGATGACGAAGGATACAATTTACTCCACTGCAGTGAGTTCAACACCCTTTGCTTTCGAAGTAACAACAGTTTAGAGTGTGCTTGATGTTTCAAACACCTATGAAGACTCTGTGGTGGAATTATTTTGTCAAAGGTTGCCCTGAGTGCCTCTGAACCCAAGGTGATTAGAAGACGACATAAATGTGGATAATTTAATCTCTCATTAGTGCAAACAAAGTGAGTTGATTCAGGATCTATAAGGGAGAACAACAAAAATTCATTAACCAAAATTTTCACTTTTTATGGTTGCTATAAGTAATTAACCGTTGCCAAATTCTACAAGCTTTTTAACTACAGGGTTTGTGCAGACTTATTCCAAAACAATACTTTACTTTTCCAGATAATTTCAAGGTTAACAAAATTAATAGGTGATCACTAAACACCTTGAAAAACACCAGATCCAAGCTTTTTTCATGATGCACTGAAAACATATGGTAAACAAGGTACAATGTGGACATTCTGTGATTAAATGTCTTCAGTACAGGGGGGATTGAATGGAAATTGACCACAGGGAAAAAAATCACTTATTAAGCAATTTTATATTGTTGTATAGCTATGAAAAAAAGGTCCAGAGTTTTTACTATTTTTCCATAGACTTTTTTTCTATTTTTCAAGACCTTTTCCAGGTGTTACAGGTTATGGGTTTAATTGACAAACCTGCAATGCAAATGGCAACTGGAATTAAGGCTTTTACTTCTTAACATGCCATGACACAACCATGGGTCTACCATAATATTTTGTATTACTAGGTGTCTAACCCTCTTATAGAGACAATTTGTTGAGTAAAACCACTGTCCACTCCTAGTTGCTGTCTGTCACCCAAAAAACCACTTTCAACCAGCAAGCTCTCAAATGTATGATGGAAAATATTTTTTTGCAGGAAAAAAAGAAAAATAAATAAATAAATAATAAAATGATAACAATAAGAATAAATTTAATAGAATTCAATTCATTTTCTAAATAATAATAATATTTATTACTTGACATAATTTGTGCAAATTAATAAAGTAATACATGATTAAAATAATGTACATGATCAAATTGACATTCATACCGTGAACCCAACTGATCATCTTCTCAGTAAGATCTTTAATCTGTTTTGCCCAGTTGTACTTTTTGTCAAAGGAATCACGCAACATTTTCGCTTCCTCCAGTCGACTTTTCCTGTCCTTGGCCCAGATTTTCTTAATAGCTGAGGTCCAATCCATGGGTTCATCTGAGTTAACAACATATGTTGAACCAAAAGCTACACAACACAAAGCTTCTCCAAAACCAGAGTTACTGCTGACAAGCACAGGGAGACCAGCTGATAGGGCCTCAAGTCCTGTCAATCCAAAGCCTTCTGTTCTTGAAGGCATGATTACAAGATCCACTTCTTGAAACAAGTCCTTCAAACTCTCTCGCTCTTTAACAAATCCTCTTACTCTCAAACGCCTTTCAGGAACACCACATTCAGTCAACCGTTTTGCTATTTCTTCGTGTTTTCCATCGGGGGCTCCAACAAACACAAGACGAGTATCTTCTAATGCAGCAATCGCTTTTCCTGCAATGTCAAACCCTTTTAATTCAAAATCTTCTACGTCTCCCCGACCAAACACTAAGACACTACGTTGTTGCCGTTCACTGGGAACCTGCTTCAAGGCTGCAAACTCTTCAAATACTCCAGGAGTGAAGTCAAGAACAGTGTCATCTTTTTTACAGCTACGAAGATATGAGCGGAAGGCCTCACTCAACTTGGGCCCAACTCCTACAACATGATCCGCCATTTTACACAGTTCTACTTCAGTCTTGTGCTTTTCTTCGCCCTTTGAAATTGGGTTGGAATAGTTTTTAAACATCCCAAGTTCTTCAGGGTCTGTGTGGACCACTTGAAGCCATTTGCACTTTTTAAATTTTTTTATGATTTGTACTTGTTTACCAAGTTTAACACCATGACCCACAATAATATCAATTTGCAGATGATCTGGAGGGAAGCTAAGCCACTCCAGTTGTTCAAAGCCAAGTAGTGGTGCTGCCTCCACGATCTTCACATTGTTTTGTAAGGCAACCTTCCTGTCCTCTTGACTGCATTGTGGTAAAAAGAAAGTGATTTCCACTTCAGGGCATTTGGCTAACTGAAGAGCTAATTCTCTGTTTATGGTAGAAAGCCCCCCTTTGCTTGATCCCCATTCAGAAGCCAATATGGTGACTTTCACTTTGTGAAAGCCGCACACTTGGTCATCACTCATGCCTGTTTAAACTCTTTGTACAGAAGACGCTGTTACCAAATATCAAAGTTGCCAAACATCTACAAAATGATAGATAAAAACAGAGAACAATATATTATGATAAACATTTTCAAAACTTCTATACTACCTAACTTCCAAAATTCCAGCTAGGGTTCTTTTCAGAACATTAAATGGCTGCTGAATGGCGAATGACTCTGAAGTTTATAGTGAGTACATAGTGCGCATGCAGACTAGCATGCTCTACATGGCTTGCTTGCTGAAATAAAAGCTTGTAGTGTTTCCTGCACTGAGTCTTCTTGCATGTGACAGGATCCTAATCAGAAACCACAACTGAGTGAGTCACGTTCTGTTTAAGGTCATCATACTGAGCAAACTGACCTGAAAATTGATTCACTCAGTTTCCTTACCCTAATCACTAAAGTTCAGAGTCATTTGAATGCCATTTGGTCCTGGCACCAAAATTCCTAACTTGACATTACCACACTTCCATCAGGATTGTCAGAAAGTTTTGAAGTAAAAGGCTGAGTTGTCAAAGTAAGCGGCCAGTCCAGGGATATCTTATTTAAAAAATGCGATATGTAAAGAACTGCCAAGCAAAGTAGCCGGCCGCTACTAACCAAATAGGCGGCGATTTTTGCCAGCAGCCGGCTACTTTTGACAACCCTGTTCCATACTACCAAACTTCCACACTTTAACACTTCTTCCACACTTTTGTGACCCACACTCTGGCACTTACGAGTAAGAAAATACATTATGCTAATAGATGTAATAATCATGAGTCACTGCCCATGGTCACTTGGATTAAACTTTCCTTGTGGATGAAATTTATCTGAGGCCAAATGAGACAGCTACATGTATGCGCGTGTCTTGCAAATGAATCCACCCTCTGACTAAAGGATAATTAAATAGAAACTAGTGGCAATTTATATGCAAATTTCATGCTTTGTGAATACGAATAGATTCATTCCAAGTATTAATTACATAAAAAACCTACTCATAGTCATGATCTCACCTTTAGCACTTTTATCACAGACTTACAAATACATATAATTTGTTCAAAAACACCACACTTTCAATAAATGCCCATGGCAAGCAGCATTTCAAGCAGACTGTCTACAGTATACTACTAATAATAAATAAACTTAATTAATGTGTCAAATGTCTAGCTTACTCGGAGTGTAAACTAATTGTGGACACCTAACTACCTAAAAACGAAAATCAAACAACTAAAATAAACAAACTCGGAAAGCCTACGACTGATCTAAGCGCTCTCTCTTGGAGACTCTCAATCTTCCGGCTATCAGATTTTCTACAACAGTGCCATACCGTCTTACAATAAGTTATTTGTGGCAAAATCAAAGATTTATAAATTCTAACCTCTGCTAATGTTGGTATTACATTTTTCAGTCTCACCATTACCCCTATTTTCCTGGATACTCTTTTAGATACCTCCCTCAAGTGGCTAGTAAACTTCAGATGCTCATCAGAAGTGACACCCAACAGCTTCTTTCTACATATTTGTCAAGGACTTTGATTTTCATTCCTTCGTTTCGTTCATATATATGTACCTCATTTGTAAGGATTACAAACTTACCAAGAGTTTTCGTTCGTTCATGTCGTGAACTTGAGATTACAAAGGTAACACCAACGCATAAAAGACGTAATTTTTTCGTGTAGAACTATTAAAGAGGGAACAACACAACTTCTGTACTCGACACACCTCAGAAAACCGAATCAAAAACTAAAAGCGGAAGACGCTCTTCACAGTTCAGTGACCGACATGTTTGTAAAACTATTACCCATACTGAACTGCGGGCAGTATCACGTGATCTCTGTTTGGTCACGCACTTCGGTACCCCGACATTCACTGCGGTCAAACGAGGCAAGAGTAACCTCGTCCCCAGGGCGCTTTTCCCTAGCTCCAAAGCCAGGGAGAGAGGCGAGAGTTGTCTGTAGCAACAAAAATTAATATGGTATATTTGCTTGAGAATAGGATTTTTACGCTTTCTCCTGGTTGTCATTGTTTGTAAATTGCTGCGTTACTTATTTCGTGACACATCCGGGTATATGCCAAGGGGTCATAGGTAGGCTTTTGTACATTATGCTAGCATTTTTTCGAGCACTATAGTGAGGCAAAAGCATTGAGCATTATTCGAGCATTTTAGTGGCATTTTCCCCGGAAAATTATTTTTTTCCGAAAAAATAAAATAGAAATTAACTTTTTTCAGGAGCCCAAACCCCATGAGCTCCTGCGTTTTTAAAGAAAATGAAGACTAAAACTCAAAATTCGCAAAAAACCTAATACAACTGGTTTTTTTTGGCTGTATTTATGAACTTGCACTCGTTGTCGTTGTTACTTGCAACACTTGCACGTTTTTGTAAGTGTAAACTTTGAAATTAATTTAAAAAACCGTTTGTATAATGAGCATTATCCGAGCATTTTAGTGACTTTTTTGGGGTGACCGAGCATTTTAGTGGGGAAAATGGAGAATTAAGGTGGAGCATTTTAGTGGGGAAGCAAAAGCATAATGTACAAAAGCCTAGTCATAGGGTATTCAATAAGTTGACACCCCCTGTGGGGGTGCGTGACATCGGAAGCTGTCAACCGCTGTTGTGTCATTCATTTTGGTTACTCGCTGGGAGAAGAAGTGGTTTTTTCATCCCTCCCAACCCTCTCCCTTTGTGTCTTCTTGGCTTTGATGTGGATCGTAGTCTATTCCTGGCGTATTTTTTGGGGGCCCTCACCTTTACTGGGCTACGAGAAAGTTATCTGTTCTAAATTTTATTCTTAAATGAAAATCGGGATTTTATTAAAGCGGCTATGGGCCTTTGTTCATAGCCATTTTACTCCAAACTTGTATGTGTTTGGTTTACTGAAATTAGGCCCAGTAAACAAGCTTCGGGCTATGCAGCACTGTTTTTCTACTTATTTGCTGACAGAAAGGGGAAAGCAGAAAAATATAAATGCCAAAAAAGGCTAAAAGGCGGCAAAGCACGAATCTTAGCGTTTTTGTAAATGATTCACACTTGAAAGGCCGGTAACCCTCCGTACTGATCCACGTCCCTGGTGTCATTAGTTGTAAGGTGGGCGGGGCTGGAAGAAAAAGTTTTACCAAAAAGTCATCCAACAGGCCAGAGAAAAACGCAATCAAACTTTAAAAAAACGTTACGTTAACCAGATTGAAACTCTAGCCCATGACCCATCCGTACGTCCTTAAAAATGTTTTTATTATGCTTAGGGTTTTCGTGGAAACCTTCTCCCTCTCATCGAAATGAAGCTTAGTACGAATCCAATAACGGAAACTCGAACTTCGAAAGCTTTAATTAAGAATCAGGTGACAGAGGGAAACGTATTGCTCCTCTTTTAATTTTTTTTTCCTGTTTGAGACATATTTTGCTTTTTTTGGACAGCTTGTAGGCAGAAACAGCCTCAAGAGTTCCAGAGGCAATTGGGTTTTTACAAAAATTTCTATTGCATAAGGATACTCGATTCCGGCGGCTTTTCTGTCAAGACCATAAATGTATCTTCTAATTTTCAAAAAGAGATAGAAATATGCATTAAATAGGCCATGATTTACAACTTATCGTCGAGTTTTGCGGTTTCAAAACAGCGTGATATCAACCTCGTTCCCAGGATTCTACTCCTACCCAAATAGCGGATACAGTCAAAACATAACCAACCAAGAGGTAACCAAGACTAAGATGTAACCAAAGATACTCCTACAAAGCACTCGTTTTTAAGCCTAAGCTAGCGAAGCGATACAGATTACATAATAAGTCAACGAGTCAAATTACAGAACACAAGACTATTGGTGGAAACCTAAGGTTATTTTGAAACATAAATTCCTTCCAAAAACTACACCGGTCGATAAATGCTTCTTACAGGTTGATTATGCAGCTTGAAGGCTAAATACAGTTATGACTTGACAAATAAGTTTACGCTCAATAAATATTAACAGGTTTAATACGATTGGAAAAACTAAGACTAAAGAATAAAGGATTTCTGCATTGGCTTTTCGTCTCTTCACAGTTGTAAGTACGCGAGATCATAGTCAACTTCGTTCAAATCAGCTGATTACAAGTTTAAAAGTTTTATCTTTTAAAAATCTTATTATCGCCAGTCCTGTTTTCATGAGCAGGACCAGCATTTTTGGTATTCTTTACCAGGGATACCGTAAAATTCCGAAAATAAGCCCCTGGGCTTATTTTTAAATGGCCCCTTTTGAGGGGCTTATTTTTGGAGGGCCTTATATTCGGAGGGGCCTATCTATGGAGGGAAATTTGCGTTTACAAATCGATTGGGCTAGCCTTATAGTTCGAAGTAAATTTATCGCTTTTGCTTTGTTTTATTTTGTATCTGAGGGCAATTTTCCAAGTACAAGCCCCCCGGGGGCTTATATTTGGAGAGGCAATTTAACGGAGGGCTTTTTGCGTCACTGGTTTGGGGGGCTTATATTTGGAGGGGCTTATATTCGGAATTTTACGGTACCCATATCATTAGCAATGTGGGTACGGGGATACCCTAAACACGGGAATGACAGTGGGTAGGACTATTGTCTCCAGTTCCCCTTTCGGTTCTTTTGCTCCTTCCTGTCCTGCTGAACCCGCTTCTTGTGTCCAATACTCACCACATGTTTCGGAACTTGTTTAAGTCGTAAAAGTATGATTGCAAGAGGTAAAAGTCACTGGCGGATCCAGACCTTTAGATAAGGTAGGGGGGCGGTCATCCACACCCTAAAAAAAGGGGGGTTGGTCTCCAAAAATTTTTGGGCCGTTCGTGCCTCAGTTTGGTATAAAAATAAGGGGGACCCCTCCCCTGGATCCGCCACTACAAGTGGTGGTGAGTATTAGACAGCCCTCGTCAAACCTCCTCTCGGCTGACTAAACTTGCAGACCACAGAAATCTGGAGAAATCAGTCTGGTCGGTTAAGGCAAGGTCCTTTAACGGTTGAGATAATCCTTTCATTGTTATAAGCGCAAATGTCATGGCAATTAATTCTATTACAGTGGCGTACCTTAAAAATGATCATACACGAATCTCAAAAACTGGTTTGCTTCTTTTTAGATACTGTACAGTGGCGGATCCAGACCTTCAGATGACGTGGGGGGCGTTCGTCCAGGCCCTTAGATAAGAAGGGGGGCACTCTCGAAAAAAAATTTTCTTGCTGTCTACTCTCATTTTAAATCACATTATTTGGGGAAGTTCTCACACTTAACACTAGAACTGAGTTCGGTGTATTTACAACATTCATTTCTCTCCGGCTATTTCCGCGTTTGTCAAGGCATCACAAGCACTCTGGGTGCCTATTCACACCCCTGAACCAAGGGCAAAAGAGTTCGATTTTCAAATTTTCAGTTAAAGATGTTCAAAAACTGACAAATTTCCCTTTGTTACGGATGATGGTGGTGCGACTGACATACTCTCGTGGTGAGCTTGGGTATTAGTAGAGATTATAGTCACGGTTAATTTTGTTGAATCACAATTGTAACGGGGTTTAACATGTAACGGAAACACTAGTGAAGGGAAAACTAAACGTTTAAAAGTTTGACATGTACCTTGTGATATGTGATACCTTAAGTAAAGTAATATCTAGTAAATGAGGGATACTCTCAGGCCGAAACTCTCCCCACCCAGCTACCAGCTAGGGCAAGTTCAGTAATATTAGGCTATTGTGTTTCGATCCTTTATATAAGCACGTATTGTGATTTTATTCTTCCACAATAGAATGATCACGTACGAAGTAGAGATAAATTGATTTGAACAAGACGAACTAAGGCGAGTTTTCATAGTTAAGTCCGCAAGCGAACTGCACAGGTCTTGCTGTCCACTCTCTGATTTTAGATCACATTATTTGGGTAAATTTTCACACTTAACACTAGAAGTTCGGTTTATTTAAACAACATTCATTTCTCTCCGATCATTTCCGCGTTTGTTAAGGCTCCATAACAAGCACTCTGGGGGCCTATCACACCTCCAATCAAGGGCTAAAGAGTTCGATTTTCAAATTTTCAGTTACAAATGTTTAAGAACTGAAAAATTTCTCTTTGTTACTGTTACGTAACAAAATTTTATACAGGGATGCTCCGACCCGAGAGGCCAACCGGTTTCTCGTTCATATGCCATTCAGTTTTACGTTACCCATTTCGAATACCTTCTACTGTCGAACTGTACCCCTTTCATATACCTAGTTTAAAACACTACTTTCTTTTAGCTACTGTAAATGCACTTTCCGTTAAAAAAATTAAAAAATCACTAAATCACAAAGTTTTCTTGACTTTTCCATAGCCATAAAATGCATCTGTTAGCCCGGCTTTTATACAGACCGATATGACTAATTTCCCTACCTTCCTTTTGTATACTTCAACTAGTGCAACCCCTAACCTGAAACCTGAATAAGGTATCCCTTTCGGTCGGAGCCTCCCTGTATTAAATAAATACCCCTCCCCCCCGGTAGAGGCCATTATAAGGAATATCCCCGGTACTCAGCTGACAACATAATAATGGATTTCACAGACAACGACGATACGGATGAAATTTCGAAGGGTTTCCTCCAAAATGTCTTGTAACCTCTCCCAAATTAGCCTGTTTCAGAAATTTATTATTTAAGGATATAATTCCCTGATATCGACTTGTGAAAAAAAAAACTGAATTAGTTTGGGTTCACGCCATTTAGATACGAATTACATCATTTTCCTTAAATGTTGAATGTAGCGGAATTCTGGTACTTTCACATTGTCATCAGCAAGTCTACACGATATGACGTTAATCATCGCAATTCAGTAAACTGCTCCATCTGTTTCTTACCGCGAAAGCCTGTACGGAGATCCGCGTAACTACAGAGGACAACAGTACTGTATTCATCGGCAGGAGCATGGAATGGTCTTCCGATCTTCGGTCAGACATCATCGTGGAACCCCAGGGGTATTATCATGAGGTCGATCTATCCGTTAACTGCACTAATACTGATCATGCTGATGCACCACTTCAAAACTGGACAAATAGATACACCGTCATCTACCTCAATGCTTTCGGTTGGGATGTTGCCAGTGATGGAGTGAATAGCGAGGGATTGACTGTGGGTGCGCTTTATTTACCCGGCTTTACCAAGTACCAGGTACATATCTAGTCCAAATAGTCAAGCCTATTAAGCGCGCGTATCGCGCTCCACCCTCGCGCGCAAACGAAGTGTCGAAAAAAAAGAAGAAAAGTGTCTGTGGATAGGTTAGAGTAAATTTTTTGACTCTGCCTTTGTTACCCTTAGTTTGGCTTTCTTTTTGCCGCGAGAATTGGCAAGCAGCAACACTGTGATTGTCTGGTGGGGCCTGGGCACTTGAGATCTGCGTAAATGTCTCGATTCCTCACAGTCATTACTTTTTTAGCAAGAAAATCTAAGACACTGCGACCCAGGCCTTCTATGAGAGACGTTGCTTCGTCCCTATACGGCGTTTTCCCAGGCCTTCTCGGTTAATGAATGTCAATGACGTATCCAAGGCGAACGGCCGGGAGACTCGCTCGGACCACGTGACTCGAAACGCGTAACCCGCACAGAATAATGAGGCGTAGGGACTAGGCAATGAGAGATGGACTGATCCCTTCGTGAAGAGCGCGATACACGCAATGTGATGGGCGGGAAATTCACATTTTCCACAGCGCTAATTTATTACACCCAAGATTTTAGAGTGCATGAGGGACACGTGACCAGCCGATGCCATGTGCTTTTCCTGCTCCTCCCATTTTCTAAGTGTAAAGCCCTGGGGACGAGGTTGTAAAAAGGTGAGGGCTTGGGGCTCAGGACAATCCTTCCTTGATGGAGCTTCTTCATTGTCCCTAGCACATGCCAATATGCACTAGTCGCTCATCACTCAATTGAAAACTTTATAAAAACTAGTCGACCAGTTCTTTAAAATTAGCGATTGTACTTGATGCGGGTGTCAAAAAAGCAATTGGCTATTTCCGAATAACCCAAGTTACCACTCTTTCTCAAAACGAAGGTAATGGCAATCTGTTCTCATGCATGGTGGAGGGCTTTGGATCTTTCTCAAGCGATTGTCTCCTCCTTGCGTATCTGCTATTTTGTGCGTTTTAAAATGTATTTAACTCTTCTCGTTTGTGACACAGGAAGTTTGCGCGAGCTTGTGCAACAAATCGTCCATATCTAATTTACAACTTCCTCAATTGATTCTGGGAAACTTCGCGACCGTCCAGGAGGTACAAGAGGCATTGGACAACGCATCGTTCCCGCTAGTGTTTGATCAAAGGGGAAAGAGCTCAAGCGCTCGTTGTCGACCCCGGTCGGGGGCTTAATGGAGGGCACACCGAACTGTAAGGAACAGAACCCCGAAATCTAATCATACTACTAGTCAAACGTTAAAACTGAGCCACCCCCAAAAATTTGTAAGTAATAAGGTCTTGCCTATATCCTTCTTAGAGACTAAGGTGGAGCGTTATGGGTCTCTACTGCACGAGTGTGTGCGAGTCGAAAGATCCATCAGACGCTGCCCTCGTAGCAGACACTGTGTCTAGACCAGGATGCTGGGCTCGCGTGTCCTCCTCGCTGTCGCATAGCGCTTATTCTACTGGTTGCAAATTAACCGTCCTCTTATCATAAGCCCTTCACGCCAGCGGAATCTGCACACATGAAAATCCCCCCATCCCGCCCTGAGCTTAATCTTTAGGGAGGACAGAGTTGCGTTAATTTTTCTTTGTAGTGGAGGTCGTGCGAGTAAAACACGCGACCACGCCCTAACACTAGTCTCTATCAGAGTTGTAGTTTCTCGTATTATCTAAGACCATCGCATTTGTAACCCGAAATCTCAGCTTTTCTTCGCTCGTCTACGCATACGAAAAAAAAAAGCAATTTGTGGCCTTGATAAATAGTTGTTAATTAATATAAGTTCCTTGCAGGCTTGGCCTACAGAGTAGTTCGGATTTTTTTTAAAGCAAACAGTAAGTCCTTAAGAACCGTGGCACCATTAAACATTGAAAAATTACATCAAAGTTGTTAACAGTTTTTTTCGAGTTACAGTTAACAGTATGGGTACCCAAGGTTGAGCCTTCGTATGAGGCGCTTGGAATACCCGTATCAGATCCAAGCTACCCAAGGGTGATCTATTTCCACTTCAACCACCCAAGTAGAACTACGCCCCGTGTACCACTTATGACATCATGAAATTGCCGGCGAACGGGGGGCGTGNTCCAAGCTACCCAAGGGTGATCTATTTCCACTTCAACCACCCAAGTAGAACTACGCCCCGTGTACCACTTATGACATCATGAAATTGCCGGCGAACGGGGGGCGTGACAAAACGTTACTCCGGCGCCTGCGAAGGAGACTAACGCTTCCAACGGTAGCTGTTCGTCAGAGCAAATCAATCGTTCCATTGCCAGCTTTTTAATCGTTTTAAAGTGGCAAATTCACGTTATCAACTCAATTCAATGTTCATCTATCAGTTTTCTGGTAGAAAGCTTTAGAAAAAAAACAGCAAAACTTTAGACACTGGCAAGGTGTATTCTAGAATGCGGCATTGGAGGATTTCCGTCAAAACAATGCCACAGAAAATTTTAGCAGTGCGCTCTTTCCTCCGCAGAGGCCTCCTTTGTGTCGTGGGGAGGCAAAAAAGAAAGCGCCCGAGCGAGGTCCCCACTGGCTTGCTACTTTGTGATTATGGATACCCAGCAAGAGCCTCTGCGGAGGAGAGAGGTTAGTGCGACATTAAAAGGGGCGCAGAAATGATCTGAAATAAACATAGAACGTTGTTCATACGGGCAAGAATCGATCTCGTGGCGAGATTAATTATAACGCTAACTTTGACATCTGAGGGCGAAATCTCATGGTGTTACCGCTCAAATCAAACCTCTTTGGTAAAACGTTTGCATAGTGCTACATATTTCTTACACTTTACAAAACGAAATATGAATTTCCGCGTGACTTTTTTTCGGCCACCAAAGTCAAAAATAACCGTAAGTGAATAGTCCTTCTCTATTTTCTAACCGTAAAAAACAAATTAACAATCTCGGATCCCATATATTAAGAAGACGGGTTCTGTTATTCAGTTATATCTGTGTAACTGTCTTACGCGCTAGTTGGCTTATTGTGTTCTTATCAACAAAACAAGCGGATAAAATAGCAGAATGGTGACACCACCTTCACAGCGTTTCAGATTGGAAGGTGACCCTATTTTCTCTTATGATAGGCGCGCATGCTCCAATAAGCGACCCCTCCTTAGAGCATAATATCATACACGCACCCCCCCACCCCCTCAACTTTTTCTTAAATAGTAGCAGGAGTAGATTAGTAACTGATAGTAGGGATACAAGGGGAATGCGAAGATCTGTATATCATTGTAGAGGATGATCTCGATGGATGACGAGATATTCGATATTTTATAAACATGCATGCATACCAATACATTTCAGAGTTAAGCCTTTGAGTCCCAATCAATCTGAGTCCCAATAGTGACCAACATCAACTTTCTCCTAACAATATCCATATTTTGTCAAAAGAAATGATTATGAGAGTGATTAAATGATCACTAAAGAGAAAGTGCTTTGATCTGTTATCAAACACTCTCAAATAATTCTTTGAGGAAAAGTATGAAGATCAGTATGGAGAATTTATATTTGGGCTTAAAGAATTAAGTGTTTTATGATGGGACTACGGTACGCTTGATTACGGAACTACTGATTTAGCAAATAAAGGGCTTTTAATATTACTTTTAGCCGACACAAAGTTACACTTCGTTCAAGGAAAACTTCTTGAGCGCCTCCATCGATTAAGCGCCCTCCTTGCAATAAGCGCCCCCTGTTTTACTCATTATTTTAAAGCAATTATTCAAGGAAGTACGGTAGTTTTTAAGGAGAGTTGCCAACTTGAATTATCGAAATTCATTTCGCACTGATTTTTTTAAAAGCTTCAAAGAGTTAGCACGCTTACATGTACCACCAGTCGACTTTTCCTGTCCTTGGCCCAGATTTTCTTAATAGCTGAGGTCCAATCAGCAGGTTCATTTGAGTTAACAACATATGTTGAACCAAAAGGTACACTGCACAATGCTTCTCCAAAACCAGAGTTGCCACTGACAAGCACAGGCAGACCAGCTGACAGGGCCTCAAGTCCTGTTAATCCAAAGCCTTCTGTTCTTGAAGGCATGATTACAAGATCCACTTCTTGGAACAAGTCCTTCAAACTCTCTCGCTCTTTAACAAATCCTCTTACTCTCAAGCGCCTTTCAGGAACACCACATTCAGTCAACCGGTTTGCTATTTCTTCGTGTTTTCCATCTGGGGCTCCAACAAACACAAGACGAGTATCTTCTAATGCAGCAATCGCTTTTCCTGCAATGTCAAACCCTTTTAATTCAAAATCTTCTACGTCTCCCCGACCAAACACTAAGACACTACTTTGTTGCCGTTCACTAGGAACCTGCTTCAAGACTGCAAACTCTTCAAATACTCCAGGAGTGAAGTCAAGAACAGTGTCATCTTTTTTACAGCTACGTAGATATGAGCGGAAGGCCTCACTCAACTTGGGTCCAACTCCTACAACATGATCTGCCATTTTACACAGTTCTACTTCAGTCTTGTGCTTTTCTTCGCCCTTTGAAATTGGGTTGGAATAGTTTTTAAACATCCCAAGTTCTTCAGGGTCTGTGTGCACCACTTGAAGCCATTTGCACTTTTTAGATTTTTTTATGATTTGTACTTGTTTACCAAGTTTAACACCATGACCTACAATAATATCAATTTGCAGATGATCTGGAGGGAAGCTAAGCCACTCCAGTTGTTCATAGCCAAGTAGTGGTGCTGCCTCCACGATCTTCACATTGTTTTGTAAGGCAGCTTTCTTGTCCTCTTGACTGCATTGTGGTAAAAAGAAAGTGATTTCCACTTCAGGGCATTTGGCTAACTGAAGAGCTAATTCTCTGTTTATGGTAGAAAGCCCCCCTTTGCTTGATCCCCATTCAGAAGCCAATATGGTGACTTTCACTTTGTGAGAGCTGCACACTTGGTCATCACTCATGCCTGTTTAAACTCTTTGTACAGAAGACGCTGTTACCAAATATCAAAGTTGCCAAACATCTACAAAAAGATACATAAAAACAGAGAACAATATATTATGATAAACATTTTCAAAACTTCTATACTACCTAACTTCCAAAATTCCAGCTAGGTTTCTGGCTGCCGAATAGCGAATGACTCTGAAGTTTATAGTGGTTAGGGTTAGGAAACTGAGTGAATCAGGTTCTGTTAAGGGTCATCATACTGGGCAAACTGACCTGAAAATTGATTCACTAATTTTCCTAACCCTATAATCACTAAACTTCAGTGTCATTGAGCCACCATTTGGTCCTAGCAACAAAATTCCTACCTTCCATAACCACACTTCCATACTACCAAAATTCCACACTTCTTTCACAGTTTTGTGACCCACACTCTGGTAGACTGCGAGCAGTCTCTTATTTTCTTCAAAGTAGCTGGGGTAGAATGCACAAGCAGCGAGCAGCCCACTCCCTTTTTGGCTTAAAGTGTTTTCTTTGCCAAACACACCATGTCTGAGAACTCGACGGATATTAAGAGAAATGACGGACTGCTTGCAGTCTACACCCTGGCACTTAAGAACATAAACTTTGCTGTAATTATGAGCCACTGCTTTCCCTTTTGGATGAATGTTTATCAGAGGCCAAATACGACAACTACATTAGCCTGCATAGTAAGTAGTTCAGTGTGGATTCGGAGCAAAGAACAAGAAACAAGAGTCCAAGACCGCATCAAAAATGGCGCAAGTAAAAGAGCAGGGAGGGGGTGGGAAAGAAAGGTAAGGAAATACTTGTAGACAAACCCCGGGATTTTGAAAACCACCCTTTTGGCCTGTTATTTCTAAGCACGTGCACCACCATTTGATGCTGTCACCAGCTGTCACAAATTGACCACTAAAATGTTTGGCTTTCCATGGAGCAGAAGTGATTTTTCAATGATGTGTGTGGAAGTAACCAAATAAAGTTTCTTTCTATTTCTGAAGCAACACGTGGATGGCGGGAATAAAGAAATCTCAATGAATCTGAATGATTAATGTAGGCTTTAAAGTTAAATCTTTTTAATCCTTCTAAAAGAAAGGACTGCAAGGATGAAGTTTTGAATTTTTAGCTCAAAACCTTCAGAAAGTTGGATTTGAGGTGGTAAAATGTGACAAGCATTCAAGTCTAGAATTTTAATCCTTGACACGGGAGTTTGTACAAGATGAAAGCTCAGCTAGACAGAAT